ATGAATTATTTAAACATTTGTATTTCAGTAATTTGTTGTTTAGCTTTAATATTGCAGTTGTTTGCTTTGATTATATCAATTTTTAGAAAACAAAAAAAAAAAATAAATAAATAAAATATTACATTATGGTCTTTGTGTGTCAGCCAAAGGCTGACACACAAGACCAAAAAATTTTTTGGTCTCCTGCGCGTAAGCGCAGGAGACCAAATTTGTAATGGATTAAGGTATGTTTCACATTAATTAATTTTCTTAATGATTTGACATGAAAATCTTGACAATTCATAATATTTTATAAAGTTTAAATTCCAAGAAAGATTCGACAATTATGCCTTACTTCTGAGCCTTCTATAAATCTGCACCAGAAACCTAAACACGAAAGGCCCAGCAGCAGCGCCCAAAACAGAACCAAATCTCACTGATTCATCAGGTGAAATAGCAAATATTGCAGATGCATAGGTCGCAAGCATTCCCAGAATTGCAGCCCACAACTCAAGACAATAAGGGAATTTGTACGTGAGAGACATCAGTACAAGAATTGATGAAGAAAGGGCCAAAGTGTTCGAAGTTAAAAAGAAATGAAATGCTACTTTTCGGCTCGCGTATATCGCAGTTCCTGCTTTATGTCCATTGGTATCGTCTTGCCAAACTCCACCAGGCGGATTCACTCCGGACTGGAAGGTTACGGCGGTGATCACCGTAGCAACTATCAGAAGAACGTTTCGAGTGTCGTTTGGCGTGTCCACTTGTTCGTCGTACCCAAGCCTGAACCAACTTCTCTTGGATGCTTGAGGTACACTGACCATTTTTTTCAATCGAGGAAATATTAGGGAGAATTTGTCACGATCTTTATGGATTTGTTTATGAAGTAAAATTGTTGGAAATGAATTAATCCTGATGTTGAAGTCTTTTATGTACATTTTCTAGTCATTAATATCTCCGCTATACACAAGTTTGAATATTCAACCAAAGTTGATCTTCAAATCTTCCAGCATATGTAGTTTAATAAATGTTCCTGCAGCTTTCAGAACGGTCTTG